AGAGAGAGAGAGAGAGAGAGAGAGAGAGAGAGAGAGAGAGAGAGAACTTCAAGCATGACGAGCAAGAATGCAAAAAGTTTTGACACACTAGCAACCAACTTTTAAGCGTCCTACATAATTATTTTGAGACTAATAAAATTATTTTCTGATTTGTATCTAGCTAAATTTTTAGATAACTTTAAAACCGTTCTTTCCGTGTAAATATTCTCTCTGAATGATCCATTTTCTTTAATAATTCATTATTTATAATCGTTATCTAATCAGTATGAAGTCAACAGTAAATTCATATTTCTATGATATATACTTCGCAATTTAATTACTTCAAGTCATTATAGATTAAGTTGTGCTCGTTATATATTTATTTTCAATCATAATTGATTTTGTAGCCAACAGTGATACATAAAACGATAGTTATATAAAGATAATTGATTGTGTTCTATTCAATAAATACATTCACACATTCGATAAATTTTTTGTTTTATATAAAATTGTTTATATTCAATATTTTATTGTCATTCTTTCATGAGACGCGCGCTGTATTCTCAAAAGAGATATTCAATAACCATTTTACATCGTTCGTAATTCATTCAACCATTTCGTTATTGTTTAAACCTTTTAAAGCTTTAACCGCAAACCTTCCGAAACATTTCACTTTTTTTAAGATTTCGTTTTTTAACAATTGTTGGTATGGATATTAGGTGTTCTAAACAATTTTAAGAGGTTCCTATTACTTCAAAACAAATGTTCCATATGTCACACCATGTGTCCGAAATAACTTAATTTCAAAGGTACAATACATCAAAGTTGAAGAGGGAAAGTTTCGTTTTTTTCCAAAAATTTTAAAAATCACTTATTTCAATGAAACTTTAAACATATATAAAGATTCATCAAAGTAAGTTGTTTTCGAAATTTTTAGAAAGAATGTGAAATTTTACTTTCAACTTCGATACCTTATATCTTTAAAATTAAGCCGACACATCGTCATATGAAGATGTTTTCGTCTTCAATTTTGTGAAACCCTTTAAAATCTTTTAGAGAACTAAATATTTACTTTGCGCAATTAAAAAATGAAATGTTTCAAAAGGTTTGCGATTGAAGCTAAACAATAATAAAATGATTGAATAAATTATATGAGCGATGCAAAAATGGTTATTGAGTATTAAATTTTAAAATCTTTTAGAGTACTTAGTATTCATTCCCGTATGTATTAAACTTCTCGTTTCGGTGAATACATTTGGAGAACGCTGGTGTCATTTAAAAACTTTAGATAGTTTCGTGGAAAGACTTCTCTCTTACAATTAGAAGAAAGATGGCTTAAGCGTGTGCAATCTCGCTGAAACAAATTCTGTGAATAGTAATGAACGAAGCATAGTTAATCGCATTAAGTACTATCGATTCATCCAGAACGTGAGGAATCTAAATACGCGTCGCCGAATGTAATTGTAATCAGTCCATTTGCAAAATGTGCACCTTGCGAGATTCATTGTACCGGCAGAAGCGTCACGTTTCGTTGGGCTTTAATCTTCTGTCGAATGAAATTCATTTGGATCGAACAGAATCGAAATGAACACGAGAGGGCGGCTTACGTATACCGGATTAATTAACGACGATTTTTTTTCCAGTACTGGCGGAAATACTTCTAACTGCGACTATCAATTATTTAAAAAAGAACGCGACACGGAGAAATTCGATCGCCAATTCGTTTCAATTTTAATTTTTCATCTGCCGGTTTATTATTAAGCTTAATTACGTAATTAAAAATTTATCAAGTTTTGTTTTAATTATAGATCTCCGTGATGTAATCATCAAAGTTGTTTCTACGTTATGACGTTAATTTATAACACATGCGTCATAAAAAACTTAATTAATAGAATAGAAATTAGATTACGCTTCAACTTTTGTCTTGTTAAAATTTCTATACTCTTTAAAGAAATTCACTAAACAGCGTTTCCTTTTCGGCTATTCCAGGATATCGATTACGAGGGTTTCCGTAAATTCCTTAATTCGTATCTGGAGATCGATACGCCGGAAGAATTATGCCGACATCTTTTCCTTTCGTTCGTCAGGAAGGGTTCGCGCGGAGTGGACGGCAAAGCCTTCAAAGTACGTATCGCATGTTTAAATTAATAAAGATTGCCGGTATATATGGTATATATTATCGCTAGTGCGAGTACGCAAGTAACCATAAACGCAAATTGGCTATAAGGAAAGAAGGAAAAAGAGAATTTTTAATACGAATTTAGTGTCACGACGTGGTGGGTACTCTGCAAGCCCAAAACGCGCGTTGCAATCGGTAATGGTGGTCACATTGGCCAGCTAGAAAAGTATATCACGCGATGCGGGGGAGCGCGCTTCCGACATAAAAAGCGACAATAAGAGATACTCGTAAACGAGATACTTGCGCGCGCTCGCGCCGGGAATTAAAAGCCGCGTATTATCCGCGTTTGTTGGCTCCCAGGAGATGGCCGTGCTCTCCTCAACAACCGCCTGCGCCGCAATTACATCGCACACGACTTCCAGCAGTAACGTTAATAGCACCGGCGTACCAGGCGGAACGTCCACGGAGGGCCACGTTGGATCCTCGCTGGCCGACAAAATTCACGGAATTACGGAAAAACTGCAAGCTCTAGGCCATCACCGGGCGGAAAGCGAAGTCGCGAGAACGAAAACAGGTAAAGTGTATACCTTGGAATTATTTACTGACAGCCCGATATCGTAACGGTTAAATTTATTAATTCATCCAATAATGTGAAATGTATTATATAATATATAATGTAAATTCTTTGCATTCTTCAATGTAGAAATCTTTCTACAA